CAGATAGTTTAATTGCTTCTTCTCTAGGTGACTGCAGTGAGAGTCCGTGGTTGTCCCCAGGGACATCTAATCCCTAGAGGACTTTAGGTCTGCATAAATCCCTCTGGATGCCAGGAATTGGTCTCTAACATCCCAACCTAACTCTGTTCAGCATCGTTGTAGAGAGACCAGCCTATGTGTCAACTTTGGCTGTTGATTTATTGATTTTAATGTAAAACTGGCCCATTTTGTTAAGCGGCTTTCCTGCACACTGGTATACTACTAGAGCCTGCAACCACGTCCAGGTGAAAAAAATCGCCAGGTAAAATGATGCTCACAGGCAATAGGATGCTGTCTTCTGAGAGCTGTTCAGTACTTTACAGGGAGTATGCAGAGTTGTTCTATTTGTTTTCATGGCAGCCTTGTGCGACACGTTGGAGGATATGTTATAATCTCCACCTAACGGTCACTTTCTTCCAGTGAATGCTAGTTAACTTCTCTGTATATTTCTGTCTCTGGAGATCTTCAGCCTTGTGACTAGACATTAAGACGAACTTCAGCAGGAGCCTTTCCTCCCTCCTGGGTGAGACTTGCAGTTTGGAGGTCTGACGTGAAGTTGTGTGATCTCTAAAGCACAAGGTAAGTTTCTAGCTCTGTCCTATCGATGGTCTGTTCAGACTGCGGTCGTTATCGTCTCCTTCTTTCAAGTTCTTTACACTCCAGATATCGCAACAATGTCCATTAGCACAGAAAATGGTGCTTTCTCCAAACAAGAGAAGATGGTATTACTGCCATTGTTTAAAACCTCTGTGCCCAGCACAGCACTTAGACAGTGTATGTGGAGACAATGACCAGACAGACAAGGGAACAAATGAAAGAACGAATCCATGAAGTGAATCGGCGAATGCCCTGAGCACATTATTGAGCACATTATTATTGAGCACATTATTGACACACGGTCCTAGGTTACTGAAGCTCAGTCTCACGCAGAACTTTGCATAGACTAGTTAGAGGCTCTTGATCAAAGGGTTTAGACTTTTTGTTAAAAGCAGTCCACAGGAATTCACACACAAATCTCCTCATGACCCAACACATACACACACATTATAGCAAAACAAAATGTTCACGGAGCCCTGCTTACCCTTTCACTTGAAATTCATCTCCACTTTCTGTTCCTTTGTATTTATCTTAGTTAATATTTGCAGATACTTAAAAGAGCAGCTGTAAATTTGATCTTTTACCTGTGTTAGGAGATAGAACTAATAATAGCAATGGTATTTAATGCAATATAATTTTTGTAAAATGCTAGTTTTGACCCACTATTCAACATTCATTAATAAAGTATGACCTGCTTTTTTAAACTACTGTGGTAAATCAATTTGTTGTAGACTAATTCTTAAAACCTCCCCTACAATAAACTTATGGAAGGCTTACTTGTTGGGGATTCAATAAATACAACACCTCAAATTAATAATATATATAATAAATGTAAATTTTAACCTCTATTTAAAAGGGTGTTTCATATACTATTCTTCTTGATTATGTTCCAATAAGTATGTTTCTCTTGTAACTTAAGTATATTTTCCACTGAGAATATTTTCAGGGTCATTTTAAGAAAACTATTGAAATTGACTATATTGAATCCAATGTGGAAGGTACTGAATAACACAATATTATCAAAGCATATGTTCTTATGAAAATATCAATGAAATGGATATAAATTCTGTTCCCCTTAGATTCTTCATCAAGAGTGACAGAGGAGTTATCTGTAGGCATGTTAATTACTTTCTCATTAAGGATTGCTCTGTACAGAGTTGCTTTTGTACAAAAATAACAACTATTTCTTTACTAAGTCATTCATCCAATAAAAAATGCAGTCAGTGTGATATACGGTAGCTGGGCTCTACTGTAGGCCCAAGAATATGGAGATAAATCAGCTGAGGCCTTTCTTCTTTCAAATATGTATAGTAAGTTTTCCCTAATAACTTTTTTTATTTTAAAGAGAAAAAAAATGGTACAAAATTTCAAAATAAGATAGTAGGAGAGTAACAATGGTTAGTACATTGCTTGTTGTTATCTTCAAAGTAGTTGCTCAGATTACAAAATATAGGCATGAAATACTGATCAAATGATATAAGCACAAACTTTTCTTTTCAATGAACTAATAGAAATTAGTAGTATAGCTATCTTAACTATTTTGTGTGTGTGTGTGTATATATATATATATATTTCCTTTTCCTTTTCCAGCATATATATACATTTACTTTTTTCCTTTCCCCCATCCCAGTTTCTCTTTCCTTTTGAACAGTCTCTCCCTATTTCTCAATATCTATTGTACATTTTGGATCTTATTTACTCTTTCAGCTTATAAAGGAGATATTATCCCTATTTCACAGAGGAGAAAAATGACCTTTAGAGAATGTAGAAATTATACTCTAATTATTAAGCGAAAAAGTTACAATCCAAACACAGTTATCCAGCGTAAAGTTCAGGCAACTTTTCACTAACTCAGATTGCCCTACACTTAGGGAGTTATTTAATCATTCTGTTTCTAATTATTGTCAGTGATAAGCTCAGCTGTACGCTAGGTACAATGTGTCCTATAGAAACAACATTTAAAACAGCCACTTTTATTATTAATACAGGCTTTTGGTCTTGCATCCATCCTGTCTGGGAATTGAATCTACATGAGTTTGGACAGCAGTGGCTGGCATAAAGGGCTATGTCATTGATATTGTTCCAGTTAAAAGGAGAGCGTCTCTAGTACACTTCCTCTCTGACTGAAAAGATGAAACTTTAATATACTTCCATCTCTGCTCCTTGCCCCACTCTTTCCCGGGTTCTGTAACTTCATCTCACCTCAGCTCTATTCTTAATTTCCCAGGCTCATGGGAGCCTGAGCTCCTCCAGATATGGCTGGGATGGCAGCATGGCCTGGAGTGGTCACCCTGGCAGGGGTGACTCCTGGACAGATTGGGGGTGCATTCTGAGGATAGGATTAACAGTGTGTGCTCATGGGTTACGTGTGGGGTGCGAGGGAAAGACAGCCATGGCTAAGTAATTCTCATGTCAAACCATTACTCGCTGAATACTTTACCAGGTCTGACTAGGTATTTAACACAGATTTTGAAAACTGAGGAGGCTGTCTCACAATGAGATTATATAAAGAGGTATACATTTCCCTTGCAGAAATCATGCAATAAAAAATGACATCTCAAAATTTATGTCTATTGTTATCGCTAGAGCTTAACTCCAAATTTTTTGTTGTGTATATTTGCAAAAGTGGCACCTTTGCTTAGAAAATGTTGAATTTACATTACAAAGTAATCCACAGAAGTTTCTTTAGTGTTGTGGTCCAAATAATATTGTCGGGTTTCTTTTGGGGTGTGTGTGTGTGTGTGTGTGTGTGTGTGTGTGTGTGTTTTCCCCCAGCAATTGTATATACTACCACTATCAATAATAATAATACTTATTACGTAGGAATAATGCCTATAATTTATTATATGTTGTGTATTAGGAGATATTCTGAATGATTAAACATATCAACTCATTGCATTCTCCAGACAGCCTGTGAGATACTATTAATATGGAGTGTCTTGTCTAAGGTTACCCAAACAATCAGTGGAAGTGTCAGGATTTAAATGTAGATAGATCATTACCAGAGACTATGTTCTTTTCTTCTACAATGTGCTGCCTCTCCTAATACCTGTATGGTATCACATCACCTCTCTGTTTTGTGATATTGGGAATTGATTGGACCCAGACACTTCATATTAAGTTACATCTCCAGCCATTAAAAGATTGTTTTCAGTTTTTAAATTTTCAGACAGGATTTATCTGAGTAACTAGGGCATACTCAAACTTGTGATTCTCTTGCCTCAGCTTCCCAGATTGCTGTGATTACAGGTGTGTGCCACCATGCCTTTGTAAACTGCTGTAAGAGGCTTATAGTAAAAGTAGTATTATGGCTTGTGTCTGGATGTCCCCCCAAAGCCTCATGAAGTCATGGGGGGCGGGCTTTTTAGAGGTGGCTGGATCTAGAGTTTGTGATTGATTCATGGTCTGATGCTGGGATTAAGAATGTGAGTGCTACACCCTCTGTAGGGTGGCTTGCCTGCAACAAGACAGAAAGAGTCCTGTTTCTTGCTTGTTGCTTTTGCTGTTTTCCACCAGCATGGACTGTTGCCCTCTGCCAGGCCACTGTAGCTTGACAGCCAGCCGATCATGGTCTGAAACCTCCACAGACTGTGAGGCAAATAAACATTTCCTCCCTTAACGTATGGGTGTTGGGTATTTTTGTTTCAGCAATGAGGAAAGTAACTAGGACAAGTAGGAAACACAATGCTCACTTTATTTTTTCAGATGAATAGGTTAAGTTTCAGGGATGCTTTGTGTTGTTGTCCAAGAAGATAAATAAGGATGAGCATGTTCCTTCCATCGTTCTGTGCTGCTTCTCTGGAGAGCGAGAGTAAGGCTCAGGCTGAACAGTGCCGTGTTCCCTGGAGGGGCCCTGGCCTTGGGGTTTTTGCACTTTTTTGGTGAGTCCTTCAAGGAGCGTTTTCTCGGAGAAGTGAAAGGGGAATTGTCTTTCCTTCGATCTTAAATGGGTCACAACTGCCTGGATGATAATCTCATATTTGACAGCATTTCACATCTGGAAAAGCAAGGATGTAACATCATTCCAGTCCGTTATCTGAAAGCACAGCTGGGAAGATGAGCTGGGATAATATTTATTTGTTTCAGCCTGCTTGATACATGGTGCTTAGTTAGTGTACATGTTGTCCAGTTCTGGACGGTTTAATGTACAAGGAAACACAAACTTTCAACCCACGTGAAAATATGCAATAGCTGAAAATTCAATGGTCCTTTGGAATATCTGAGTGAGGCTGGGAACTCGCAGTTACCACACAAACTTTGACAGATGGAGGCCTGAATATCATCTAAGAGTGTGTTATGGGTCATTTACTATGCATGTCATTTGTCCATTCTGCTTTATTCCCACAGTAAAACACAGTTTCAATATGGCACTCATGGAGAACAGTACTGAGGTGGATGGTTTCAGACTTCTGGGACTGACTGGCATCCCGGAGCTACAAGTCCCCCTCTTCATAATGTTCACCCTCATCTATCTCATCACTGTCCTTGGGAACCTGGGCATGGTCACACTGATCCTGCTGGACTCCCGTCTGCACACTCCCATGTATTTTTTCCTCAGCAACCTCTCCCTGGTGGACTGCGTTTACTCCTTGGCTGTGACTCCCAAGGTGATGGCTGGGCTCCTCACAGGGGATCAAGTTATCTCCTACAGGGGCTGTGCTGCTCAGATGTTTTTCTTTGTGGCTTTTGCCAGTGTTGACTGCTTCCTACTTGCTGCCATGGCCTATGACCGCTATGTGGCAGTCTGCAAGCCCTTACGGTACACCACCACGATGACTGCGAGTGTGTGTGCTCACATGGTGCTCGGCTGCTACGCCTGGGGCGTGGTGGAATCCGCCATCCACACTGGGCTTGCCTTCTCCCTCACCTTCTGTCAGACGAACGTGGTCCATCACTTTTTCTGTGATATCCTCCCAATCCTGGCGCTTTCCTGCTCTGCCATCTACGTGAATGAAGTTGTGCTCTTTATCTTAGCAGCATTCAATGTCTCCTTGGCCCTGGTGGTGATCTTGACCTCCTACTTGTTCGTACTCATTGCCATTCTGAGGATGCACTCTGCAGAAGGGCGGAAGAAAGCCTTCTCCACCTGTGCCTCCCACCTCACCGCGGTGTCCATCTTCTACGGGACCGTCATCTTCATGTACCTGCAGCCCAGCTCCACTCACTCCATGGACAATGACCAAATGGCCTCTGTGTTCTACACAGTCATAGTTCCTATGTTGAACCCGATTGTCTACAGTTTAAGGAATGGAGAGGTTAACAATGCTCTCAAGAAAGCCGTGGAAAAGTCTAAGACTCTGCTTAGCACATAATTTGAATTAGGGAGATTGTACAAGCTGCATAGTTAATCAATTATCCACTACTGTGCAACAAACTAACCCAAATTTAGGGTCTTAACACAATGGTTTTTGTCTATCATACCTTTATGGCCAGGGAAGTTCCTTTGCTGTTTGCTTCTGGGCTTACTCATGATGTGCATAGGTTCTTGAAGGGCAGCTAAGCTGGAAGGTCTAAGGTGGTCTCATTTATATTTATGGATATTGTTGCAGGAGATTCACTAGGTCACTTTGGTTCCTTTCCCCACCACCATATTTTATCCTCCAGAGGCTGGACTGGCCTTTACATATAACATCTTCAGGCCAGTATTCTCACAGCCTAAAAGAAACACAGAAAATCTTCCTAAAGTTCCATAAATACACAGTAGTACCTTTTTTTTTCTTTTTCTTTTTTTTTTTTAATTTGGTACCAGGAATCGAACTCAGGACCTTGTACTTGCCAGGCAGGCATTTACGCCACTGAGCTATATCCCCAGCCCCCAATCTTCCTAAAGTTAACTCATTCATTTATTCCACCACACCATGAGAACAAATGCAAGTGAAAATCCTGACCCCGAGTAGGGATGAAGAAGGACACACCACCTCTCAAGGAAAGGGGATACCAAGAATTTGTGGCTCTAGGGGTGATCCCACACAATGAGAAATTAGGCAAAACTGCTACAATAAGCAAAATATAACAACACAAATAACAATGTATTTCTCCAAAGCAGTAGCTAATGTAGCTGTGTGAAAATGAAGCATCTAGACTGCTGTGCTATCACAGTGGGGGTCCTTGCACACTCTTTCTATCACCTCCCAGAGCATTAAGAAAACTTTTGTTATCATCAGTATCTCACCTGGAGGATGGGGGAAAGAGATGGAAGATAAACAATTTCTTTTCTAGCAAGTGATGCAGTAGCTGTGTTCATTACTTTCTGGAACATTCTATTATCAAGAATTTGGTCATACGGCCACAACCATCTACAAAGCCAACTTTTGAATTGAATCTCTAGCCGAGTGGCAGTGTTCCTAACTGAAATCTCAATACTCTGGAAGAAAAAGAGAATAGGGTTGCTGTGGGTGGTGGGAGGGAGAGAAAGACAGAAGTCTGACAGGGAATTTGCACCTGAATCTGAATTTTAGATTTGTTTCCAAAAGTCAGTCTCTAGCTTAGTTGTTTCCCCTCCTGAAAACACTCTTCTTTGACGTTACATTAATTCTTTACTAAAATCTCCTTGCTCATCAATCCATTCAGATAGCTGTTCTAAATAATTCCTTGTCCTCCTTTATCTTTGTCATAGAATTTAAGTAAGTTTTGGAAATTATATACCATTTTAATTCCTTAATTTCTAATTCTGTGAATTATATGTAGTGTTACATATATACCCTAGACTCTAATTTAGCTAGATTATTCTAACATATTTGAAAGGTGGAGATTTGTGGATTGCTCATGTCTTAGCTACCAAGTGTGAGGAAACAGTAACCTCAGTGCCCACATAACTAGAAGGGTCAGTGACCGCTGTGTGAGCTGTGGACGGGTCTGGCAGTAGGTTTGCAGTGGACGGATGTCACGAGTTTCATTCTAAACAAGCAAAACATGACGTATCCCTTGGAAATCACGGTAAAAATCTAGCCCTAAAAGGAACAAATTCGGAGTTGTCAGTGTGAGGATGGTGTTTAATGCCATGAGAATGGGTGCTATCTATAAGGGGACACGGGTGGAAGAGAAGTGTCTGAAGGGCTGAGACTGGGGACTTTCTCAGCAAGAGGTCAGACGGATCAGCTGCCAGGAAAGCAGGCGGCATCTGTCTTCAAAAGTAAGTAATGAGACATCTCTCAGGAGAGGCCATGTGTTTGGAAGTTGTTGATATCAAGACTGAGAACTGACCACAGGCTATATATAGCCATACGAAGTTGATAAATGACTTTGAGGAGTTTTGTTGAATTGTAGGGGTAAAAATTTCATTAAATCTATACTCTATCTACAGTGTAGTCAGTGATTATTACTATACACAATCTGCATAATAGAGTTAACAAATTTGCACTTTTATACTTTTGCCTGAGCAGCTGGAGTTAGTTGAGGCCGTCAGTTTCAGGAAACGGGCAGACCCCTGTCAACACGATGTGATTTTGAAGAGAGATGGCCGGTAAGACACATTTTAGCAGAACGATTTATTTATCTTTGGAGGTGAAGCCATGTGGGAACAGGAAGAGACCATACCCAGGAGCTGGTGTCATAAAGAACTGAGATAAAGGCAGGAATTTGGAACAAAAATTGAGAGATAAACAGAGGGGAAGAGGAAGGGGAAAAAAGAAGAACTAATATCTAGAATTAGTAACTAAATTCAGTAGTGTAGCAGGATACAAAGTCAACACTCAAAAATCAATAACACTCCTCTAAACAAATGACAAACTCACTGACAGAGACATTTGGGAAAAAACATTTTTCACAATAGCATCCCAAACAGTGAAACATAGTATAATAAAATTGAAAGGGATCAAATGTATACATACTAAAATAGAAACACTTAATATGCTGGAAGATAGTATTGGTAAAACTCTTGAGGAAATAGGTATAGGCAGAGAGACTTTATGAACAAAAAACTGACTGCATAGGAAATATGATAAAGAATCAACAACTGGGATCTCATCTTATTAAAAAGTTTTTGTGCAGCAGGAGAAATCATGAATAGAGTGCAGAGATAACCCACTGTGTGAGAAATGAATTTTACCAGTTATTTCTCAAACAAAAGACAATGATCTAGAATATATGAAGCACTCAAAAAAAATCAGACCCCTCAAAATTTAAAGACCCAATCCCAAAATGGGCATCTGAAATGAATACACGCTTCTCAGATGCAGAAGGAGAAAGAGCCAATAAATATATGAAAAAATGTTCAACATCACTGGCCATTCAAGGGATGCAAATTAAAACACTGAGATTCCATCTCTCTCCAGAAAGAATGGCTATTATCAAGAAATCAACCAATAATAAATGCTGGTGTGGCTGTGGGAAAGAGGAACCCTTCTCCACTGTTCCTGGAAGTGTAGATTGGTGCAACGGCTGTGGAAATTTCCCAGAAAACTAAAACTAGAGGTTCTGTTTGACCCAGCTGTTCCCCTTCTTAGTATCTTCCCCAAAGAATTAAAAGGATCACACCACAGGGACATATGCACACCCATGTTGACAGCAGCACAATTTGTAACAGTTAAATCCTGAAAATAGCCCATATGCCCATCAACAGGTGAATGGATAAAGACAATGTGATTTTTATATACAATGGAATACTACTCTGCCATAAAGGATAAATTTGAGACACTTTTAGGTAAATGGATGCACCTTGAGACCATACTTTTAAGAGAAATAAATCGGACACACATGTTTAAATATCACATTGTTTCTCTTGTGTGACGAGAACTCCCCTACACATACAGCCCCCATGGGGTCTGTGTATTATTTTTTTCTATTGCAATCTCCACTCCAGCCTCTACTGTGCTCCAATATCTTTCCTAAAGATGTGGAATCTACTTATCCAATGAGGTTAAGGAATTTGCTCAAGGTCATATAACTTCCAAGAAGAAATCTGGGATGGAACTGAAGTAGCCTGATTTCAGGAATATCCTTTCACCTGTGTTGGTATATTATTAAATAGAGGGCCAGGGATATAGCTCCGTGGCACAAGCACCTGCCTGGTAAGTGCAAGGTCCTGAGTTGGATTCCTGGTACAAAATATCTATATCTATATCTATCTATCTATCTATCTATCTATCTATCTATCTATCTATATACAGTCAAAATTTTAGGGCCAGAGATATAGCTCAGTGGCACAGTGCCTGCGTGGAAAGCTCAAGTTTGTGAGTTCAATTCCCAGTACCACAAAAAAGGGAAAAGAAAGAGTGGGAAATTCGTACTCTATGTTTATTTAGTCC